TTGAGAGACTTTGACGGTGATATATTTTTTTTTTGGTATTTTAGCTATTTTTGTTCGGTGGGAATACCTACTTTGACCAAAAAGATTTGCCGAATCATTAATCACCCTGTAAGGTACAATATTTTAATTATAGTAGTTAAGTATGTATTTTGACTACACAGAATGAGTAAAAAACTTACAAAAATATTTAAGGGTGATTTATGGTGTCCATTTTTAAGAACTAGGGATTTCTAACTTCAACACCCTGTATCTCAAAATATAGTCATAGGATACGATTGGGCCCATGGACACTTTTGATGGGGACATCAAGATATTTACCATATCAAAAATTCAGACATTTTGTCGGTACCTCCCGTTTGTATAAGAAAAGTGCGTGGTCCTTTACTTGCTTTTTCTATTTATTTAATAATCACCGCATTATTAATTTAATAAATTTCATTAAACTTTCGGCATTTTGGTTGCAAAGTTTTGTCTGATAAGTTCGCACTAGTAGTTTCTGAACAGATGTAAGAAAATAAAATATTTTAAGCACCTATAATACTTGGAATTCTACTACTTAATGTACAACAATTAAAAAGCAACGCCGCTTTATCTATTTTGACTCAATTCTCAGAATTTATCTAATGTAATTTTGCACACGAGTTGATAACTCTGCCTGCTCCCGCTTCAGCTAGTCATTCACTGGGGTAAATTAGGGATTATACATTCATCTTGAAAAGCTCGCTAATGTCAGCATTCCGGGAAAATTATTAAACTGCTTCCTCTCATATGTTTTCAACGTAACTAACTCAAGACGTTGAACTTTCTGAGTTGGATCTTTAATTAATTACATTAATCACTTGATAAGATTAAAGAGGGAAGGCTATTGTGAGTTGTGTTACAAATTAAATTTTTTTGGTGTCTTCGCAACAGGGAGATTTTTACCCTTTTGCAGATAGAAAACGAGAGGCTCGATAAATTTCATTACAAATTTAGAAAAGTTCTTACTCATTGTCCGACAGAATTATTAAAACTTTTTAACCTTCTTAAAAATTGTTTTGAACAGTAATGAAATATTTTCATAAAAATCAGGCCTGGCAATTATATTTGTGCACAAAGGAACACGCACTTTTCTTATGCAAACGGGAGTACCGTAAAAATGTCTGAATTTTTGATATGTTAAATAACTTGATGTCCCCATCAAAAGTGTCCATGGGCCCAATCGTATCCTATGACTAGATTTTGAGATACAGGGTGTTGAAGTTAGAAATCGCTAGTTCTTTAAAATGGACACCATAAATCACCCTTAAATAGTTTTGAAAGTTTTTTGCTCATTCTGTGTAGTCAAAATGCATACTTAACTACTATAATTAAAATATTGTACCTTACAGGGTAAATAATGATTCGGCAAATCTTTTTTGGTCAAAGTAGTTATTCCCACCGAACAAAAATAGCTAAAATACAAAAAAAAAAAATATATCACCATCAAAGTCTCTCAATATTTGATATCGTATAGTACTCGATGTACTCGTTCAAAATTCTTATTGGTAAAATTAGATCCTATGACTAGTTTTCCAAATATAACTTAATATGTACCAAATATATGAATTTTAAACAATAAATGTATACTGACATAAGTAGATATTTTCAAGAGAAATATCTTATATTAAATATTTTGACATACTGTTTTAGATTAAGAATATACCCCTTGTACTATTTGCAAAGGGAAAAAAATCGTACTTACAGGGTGATCGCGGTTGAATATGTAAGTTAAATCAACAAAATGTTGAAATTGTTGCCAAAAAATAGAAAATAATTGTTGTTCATCAAAAAAATAGTAGTCCATATACAGGGTCATACTTTATTTCGGTACAAAAAGTTAATTATATGGTAGGTCTCAGTAGGATGTGCAGAAATAATTTATGATCGGATTACAGGTTTATTTGGCTCGAGTATTGTCATAAGTGCCTCTTTGTATTGTATATTTAAATAAGATTATGAGCTCCATTCACGCCACCAATGAGGTAAAGCCCCCAATACATTTTGTTTTAAGTCGCATCCCTTGAAGGATGGTTACAGTTGAACTTGCAAGGTGGAAAAATCAACAATATATAAAATGACTGCCAAATATTAGAAAATAAATTGCTTGTGAGTTCTTTATTGAAAAAGATTATAAATATACTTACATTAATAATTTAAATAGCCAATACCAAACTTTGTCAAACTGACATAGTTTTTGGAATAACTAGAAATTAAAAACATTTAATGAAGCCTCAGAACGAAGTAGTCAATGAGCAGAAAAATCTGGGAAATTATCCATTTCTTAACTACTGTTTCATTGCGAGTTTTCTTCTAGGAAATCCATTGAGTAATAGTTATGCACACAATGAAGTATAAATGTCATATCTACTTATTGGTACTCATTCATATAAGAAATAGTATTTTCATGTTATTGGTTTTAAATATTCAACATAAGTCGAGCAGACATATTATTGTAATTTAATTTTCACGAAACATTTGTTGATATTTTTATAGTTTACAGCTTACCTGTTCTTCTCTTGATTTTTCAAGGGCTTCTCAAAACAATATGATATGAATATAGGGTAATAAAATATTCGTAATTTTCGAATAACCTGCCTGTTTTTATATTTTCATTATGCAAAGGCATGCAAGTCGTCTTGTTAAGTATTTAATGATTTAAACTTGAAAATATAGATAATCTTTAACATCCTGTAACTTCGTAATTTTTCACTTCAGACGTTAAGCTTGTTGTAATCGACACAACCAAGGCATTTTAAATCGACTTGAGTCTGATACCGTATTAAGAATCACCCTGTATACTCGTAATGATAAAATATAAAGCTAAAGACTGTCTGCATGCCTAAAGTTTTGCTTTTTTATATCTACTACGATAATACATAATTTTTCCGAAGATTTTCACAAAAATTGATTACCCTGTATATTTTGTAACCTATGAGTTTTAGACGATTGATACATTTTATTAGTAAATTCTAAATAGTGGTGAATATGCCAACAACATTATAGGATATATAAACATGCTTACACTTGATTATACAGGGTGTTATTGAAATACACGTACATATTAAAACTGGGTATTGCGCAGATCCCCACTGAATGTAGAAAAATATTATTTTTTAAAAATACCCCTTATTAAGGGAGTTATTAATTTTTGAAAATTAATTCTAAAACAAACGTACTTCACTGATATGTTGAGGATGACCTATATAAATTAGGTTTATTTACCTATTTTAAACATCAACAGTAATTAATATGCAAGTTTTTGTCAGATGATAAGAAAACTAGTCTTGTAAGAAATAACCATGTTGCCAAGATTTTCGAATTAATTTCTATTTCCGAAGACTGGTTTTTACTACCCTCGTTATCAAAAAACTAGAATATTTGATAAATGATTGTTTTTAAACTATACATTTTTGAAACTATAGATTATTAAAATTTTAGTTGATTTACGAATCTGGCTAACACGAGCGCGTCATTTCCAAGTTGGTAAAAAGTGTTGTTACGATTACTTTTAAATATTTTTTTACGATGCCACTATTTACGAATATTGAACTAACGGATATAGTGCTGGTTTATGGGGCAGCTGGAGAAAATTCTCGGCAAGCACAAATCCTGTATCGCGAACGGTTTCCAAATCGGAGAATTCCGGACTGTCGTACGTTTATTTCAACTGTTCAGCATCTAAGAGACCATGGAAAATTTGAGAGTGTCAATGCAGATCGAGGGAGAACAAGAACACAAAGAACATTGGCGGCCGAAGAAGAAATATTGGAAGCTGTTGAAAACCGGCCTCAATTAAGTTGTAGAAGACTAGGTCTTGAAATTGGAGTGTCCTCATTTGTGTGTGGCGGACACTTAAAGAACAAGGTTTACATCCTTATCACATCCAAAAAGTCCAGGCCTTATATCCAGGTGATGAAGAAAAGAGAGTGGAGTTTTGTGAATGGATGATTCAAAAATGTGTTGATATTCCTGATTTTCTAAAAATATTATTGTATACTGACGAGGCTTCATTCACTCGTGATGGCGTGTTCAATATGCACAATACGCATATTTGGAGTGATGAAAATCCTCACGCCATTAGGGAAACTGGGCATCAAAGAAAATTTTCAATAAATGTTTGGGCTGGCATAATAGATCAGTATTTAATCGGGCCTTATGTTCTCCCGAACAGATTAAATGGGCCAGGATATCTCCACTTTTTAGAAGATATTTTGCCAGTACTCCTAGAAGAGATACCGTTACAATTAAGGCAACGGATGTGGTACCTACTAGATGGCGCTCCTCCTCACTTTGATTTAAACGTACGGCAGTTTTTGAACATTAGATTTCCTCAAAAGTGGATAGGCGGAAATATACCTACTAAGTGGCCTCCGAGATCTCCGGACTTAAATCCATGCGATTTCTTTTTGTGGGGTCACATGAAACAACTGGTTTATAATGAACCTATTAATAGTGTTGAACAATTAACCAATAAAGTTAATGCGGTAGCCGAGGAACTACGACAAAATCCAAGACTAATTTCTAATGTTCAAAGTTCTTTGGAAAGACGATTGCAAGTGTGTGTAAATAATAATGGACGGCATTTTGAACAATTACTGTAATAAACTTTATTTTGAATTAATTGGTTTTGCTACGGCAACAGTGCAATTTCTATGGGTAAGTTCAATTTCGATTTATTTTACTTCTTTAAATATGGAAACTAGTAGGTCGGAAAAGGGGACTCTTCCCCAATATTTAAATTTTAGAATATGAAGTTAAAATTGGTGCCAATCGTTTTTGGTCATTACATACTATTCCCCATTTTAATATGTACGTGTATTTCAATAACACCCTGTATATTGATCTAGAAGGGCTATGATTAATAATTTTTCCGAATAATTGAACATATTGTTGACTTTTATAATAAATGACGTTTGTATTACTTTAAGCGAGCATTAGACCGTTCTGTATTAGTGTTTTAAATAAATATTGTTGCAAATATGGCGTTTGCAAATAGGATTAGCTGTTATGTTTGCAATAGACACTTTCAACTTCGACTCACTATTCGTTTAGACGAGGACAATAATATAGATGTGCTTAACATTGCTAATTTTAGAAGACAAGCTGCCGGACATCCTGCAGTTGATAATCTATAAGAAGTATGATTAGGTTTAAACTATTATCACGCAATTACACAGGAACTTAGAAATATTGAAAATGATCCAAATTGCCTAAGACTTAATGTTTTAATACCCCACTCAGTTCGTGGTGGTATAATTTGTAACGCACAAGTAAATATAAGAAAACTATTGGCAGTATGCAGAGCAAATATTTTTTTAGTCTCAAATATTTATGTACCCGAATATCTGAAGATTTGTGACATTCATCTAAATCATTCGGGTTTACTAATGATTAATTTGAGTGGTTTTTATCAGATTTGCAGGTGCGTTGTTAAATAAGTTTCATCCTCTTATAAACCTACCAGGTACAATGGACATAGCAGTTGAAATTTTAAACAAACTAGATGACGTTAATATTATACAAGCACGCGTCGAAGCCCAAAATCTGACTACCAGAAATGGTCGGTGGCGAAGATTGAACCACATGCATATTCCTGAATTTCCTCGCGTAGAGATCAATTTCCTAAAAGACTTGGTAGGTTCTTACCATATTTATTTAAGTCCATCATATATTCAAGATAAACTGCAAAGAGAGGAAAATAATGTTTTAGAAATAGACGAGTTTAGAGAAGAGAATAATTTTTTACGTTTTAGAATTTATTCTAGGTTCAGAAACGCAACTAAATATATGCTGTGGTTGGCATACGAAGAAGAACTTAATGAAAATATTGATCCAATTTTCTACTATTATTGTACATGTCCATGCGGTTCGAGAACTTTAAGTACTTGCGCACATGTTGCATCAGTGTTATGGTTTCTTGGTTATGCAAGGCACCAGAATAATATAAGATTTCCAACAACACGTTTACTAAATAGCATCGATGATGCAGCAGACCGATTATATCCAGAAAATATCGATCTCGGTCCCATAGTAGAAGAAAATTAATTGGTATTACAATTTCGTATTAGCATCTAATACTTAACGTCAACGTCTTGGTTCAGTTACGTCAGTCATTTGGTCATTTATCTTTATTGGCTGTTATTTTAATTCAATATTTGACTTTTATTATCGTATATACCTTACAAAGTATCTGAATTTATATCTTTAGCGTTTGTAATAAATTCAGTTGTCCTTTGTAATTGCTATTATTGTTATATTTTTCCAAGTTATGAGAACATTAATAACAATGCCAAAAAAGAGAAAAGAGAATTGGATGTTGTGAAAATTCTACGTACATACGTGCTAAACTTGATGCCAAAAAAGACTTGCCAAAAATGTAATGATCTCTTTATATAAATAAGTAAGATATATTGAGATAAATGGAGAAATGGGTGGGTGGGTGGAACTCGAAGTGCGGCCACCTCCTCGTGGTGAGTTCTGGGTTGATTTAACATTCAAAACCGGTTTTATTATCTTGTAGTTGCCCTAAACTCCTTGAGTTTTAAATCAAGCGAAGAGCTGCACAAAGCTGAATTTTTTTAGTTTTTTAATTTCTCACCCCTAAGGTCCCAGCTAAATATTTTATTTTTCACTAATTTTTATATAGGGTGTAAACCACATAAAACACAATTTTTTCACACTAGCCTAAATGCACACAGACCATATGCAAATACTGTTATCAAAACAATTGCAGTAAAATTACATTTCCTATATAAAATTTGATTATAATAATTTTTATATTTTTACATTATGTTTTACTAAATTTAAATATTGTGATATTAGCAAACTTGCCAAATAAAGAAAATAAAAATAAAAGAAAACCAAAAACATACCTGGATCTACAATAATATATATAAATAATGAGTAAATTTTATCTTTTAAATTATTAAAGTCCTTTAAATTGAAATGACACGTCAAACCATAAACGTCAAACTTTTAAAACAAACATACTTGTGTTCCAAACAGAAAATACCATTTATAGAATAATTTATTTACTTGAAACCTTTCCCCGCACAACACCTCGCCCCTCACCAAGGAACATGGTCAAATTGGGCTAAGCCATTTTACATTCGTCTGCCTGGAGAGCGATGTTGCAATTTTTCACTTTAGTGTTTATTCCGTCTGTTCAGATGGCAGCATCTTATGGGCCCTACATTTTTAAATCTTATCACAAAATTGCTGAAATAATTAGGCAAAAATAAAAGAATGTATTTTGCGTTTTAACTTTAAAATACTATAAAAAATGATGGAAAGTCCATAACTTTTAAATATTTGTTAAATAACACTTATTAAAATATTATGCATTAAAAATAAAACAAACTATAGACTTTCCACCATTCTTTACAGTATTTTGAACTCATTTTTGAAAATATTATCGTTCAGAGCTGTATTTTTTGTGATAAAAAAGTCTCCGTCACTTGTCATTGACAACGCATTGAACTTGGCCTTAATATAATAATCTATCTAATAATATACAGGTTTTTCCCATTTTTTCAACCATCTGATAAACACAAAAAGTTACTTTGATTCTTCGACAGATTTCAAAATTTTACACAACACCTTCATCAGATCATCTCTTGAGAATAAAAAAACCATTTATTTTATATTGTATTTATTTTATTTTTATAATTTATGTACAGAAATTGAAATTTACTTTTACACAACAGACGAAATCATTTAACAGCGTTGTTGGCTGATTTACCAACCATGACCAATACCATGTCCACCAAGACCATGTCCAACAAGACCATTTCCTCCAAGACCAATACCATGACCAACAGCTACTGGTACTGCAACTCCTACTGGTCTCGATACTGCAACTGGTACAGCTACTGGAGAAGGTACTGGTACTCCTGTGGTATAAAAATATGTCATGTATTCATCAAGTAGTCGTATAAGTATCTATCACAAAGGTTTCAAGGTTTCTACCATTATAAATAATTTAGTCTTGTAAAGTTTAAGAACATTTGTTTTATGTTATTCATAAAATAAATCTATATTCAATAGGGTTTAAGTATGTTGGACTCTTGGCAACTTTGGATTTTCAATATTGAAAATGATAAACCAGAAATTTTTTTAAAAATTATCAAAATAAAAGCTGTTTCATGCAATGATAGGCTTAGCTGGCTCCAAGGAGTTGGTAAACTTAGTACAGATTAAGATTAAGAATAATCAAAGTGTGAAAATTTGAATTGAAGAGGGAAACACTTTGATAGAGTTGCAGACACTAGCGAGGAATAGAAAAGGATGGAAGGATTAGGTCTAGAGAGGGGTTGGATTCCAATCCGATTCCTAAAAAGGCAGAAGAATATGAAAAATTGTAGAAGAATAGACAAAGAAGAAACTAAAATATATACAAGAATAGATATATAAGATGTTGATGACATTATGGCAGTTAAAATGAAGATAAAATTGAGATTTATTGTTAAAAAAAAAATAATTGTTAAAGTTATCATATCAGGAATATGGGAAAGAATAAGGTTTTACATTTTTGGTAATTAGATGTTTTAAATAAAATCATCCAAAGATTCTTAAAATTAGAATCGACTAGAAACAAATACAGTGGAAGATTGCGTAAAAAATTAATTGGAAAAATGCAATAATTGAACATAGTAGAAGTCACAAGCAAAATAAACAAACTAATGAATAAAAAATTGATATTCCATGAGCCATATTTTAATTGAGACTTCAAAACCTGGGTTTTACTCACCAACTGGTCTGTCTACTGCTACAGGAACAGGGTGTGGTACTGGAACACCAACGGGTCTGTCTACAGGTACGGCAACATGTCTTTCAACTGTGACTGGGTATGGTCTTGGGACAGCAACTGGTACTGGACGGTCAACAGCAACAGGTACTGCAAATAATAATAACTATAATATATGCAGAATCATCAAATATTATTATTGAAATTATTCATGTGTTTTAGGTGCTATTCGTAATAATTTTGGGTCAGCTGACATCTGAAGTATATTTCAAAATATGCTTCGACCATAAAAAATTGGAAAATTAAATTAGTTTAATTAATTTAATAGTATTAATGTACTGTCTACAGACCAATAATCTATATTCCGAGAGATCAGTAAAAGCAGTAGAATAAAAACTGATTAATTTGTTAAAGTTTGATCGTTGTTTATATAACTACATTCTATTAGACACCATGCAGCTCTTCCATTACATATTACTGTATTTATAGACATTCCTCAAGTACTTCAGATGAGATGTCAAGAAATGATTTAAAAAGTTTTAAGAAAAAATAGAATAAAAATTTGTGGTATTTATTGATCCATAGATAGTCTAATATTTTTATCATTTAGAAGTTTTTACTATAAATATTATAATTGACATATGAAACTATCAAAATCCTTTGATACAGTAAATCACAACATTCTGATAGCTAAAGTGAAACACATAATAATAATATAAGTCTTCTTGTCTTATTTAAAACTGAGGTCTTAGTATATATAATGTTTTGTGTTGAATTATACGATCCTTGCAAGCTCTGGGTCCCCTCAGGGCTCCAATCTATACCCTCTATTTTTTTTAATATATATTAATATTATCCATCTACGTATTACATCATACTGCCCCATGTATGCAGATTATCTAAGGTTTTTTAAGAAAATATCCACTCTAGATGACTATATAGATCATTAAACTGACTTAGACTCAATTTATTGAATTGGTCATTAGAGTTTTGAGGTAAACTTACCATTTACTCGAACTGGAACTCCAACGGGTCTATCGACTGGTACAGCAACAGGTTGTGGAACAGGGATTCCAATGTTTCTAGTAACGGTGGTGTGGGTATGGGTGTGTCTTCCTAATTCTACAGCGGGACCTCCTACAGCGACACCAACACCTGGACCAGCTGTATACAAATTTAGCTGATTAAAATACATATGTAACACGAAATTTACTTTTAAAAATCACAAAATATTTAAAATTATAGAAATGAAGACGTTAACAATATTGCATGGTGAATTGGTACAATACAAACATAGCATTTGCTAAATGGATATATTACTTAATGTTTTTAAATTGTTATGGACATATATTTATATAATTTAATCATTTACAATTCGTCTTAAAGGGAAGACCAAACTAACTAAGGAGACTAATATAAAACAAAATACATATCTGCTTCTCGTCTAGGTGTTGTTGTAGATGAAAGAAACTTATTTATGATGATTCAGCCATAATTTTGTTACATTTATTTTCTATATGATCCTATCTAAGAAAAAAAAAGTCATCACCTTTAACTGCTTAGCTTTTAACTAAATATAGGCCGAAACTTTTTCAAAAACTTAGTAATTTTCAAATTTCATACATGAAGTAATCATTTACTACAGTCAAAGGAAGTAAGTGCTACGTTTTGTCCATCGGGAAGAAAGTATTTTGTATTCCTTCTATATTTTGCAGTAATAGCTTACTTTTTTGGTAACTAATTCATAACTACAACGTTTGCTATTTCTAGAATTTTTAGTAAAATGTTTTTACTATTATCAGTAGCATTTTTCATTTGTATTTCACAAATTAATGTCAAAGGCTTTTAACTACTTAAACTGAAGATGGCGACAGAATAAATAACATTTTGATGACTCTTGCTATGAAAACCGGATGACTCTGATTTATTTAATTTAAAAATGGTTGTAGGTTAACTGTAAATGATTGGAAGTTCATGTGATTTAGATTTATCACGTTCTTGAACTCCAAGTAAATTTACTAGATTTAAGAGCAAGACTTAGGAGCAAGACTTAGGAGCAAGACTTAGGAGCAAGACTTAGGAGCAAGACTTAGGAGCAAGGTTTAAGAGAAAGACTTAAGAGCAAGACTTAAGATCGTTCTTGAACTTGATTCTACTGCTATTATTATAAAATTAAATTTAATATTTACCCAAACCAACTCCTCCAATACCAACTCCTCCTAGACCACCTCCTACTAAACTACCTCCTACTAGACCAGCGCCTCCTAGACCAAGTCCTCCATCAATGATGCCATCTCCA